GGAGAGCCCTCCTTGTACAGTGTTCATGATTAAAGTGTTTGTAAACCAAAAGCTACTCTTTTATTACGCCAAGTGTTCCATGCTAGAATACAAATGAAAAGGGCTGGAATTGGTGTGTGTTACTGGGTTTCATCCTTTCTTTTTTAATCTGGGTATTTCTTCCTTTTTTTAATATATTTTATTGATTTTTCACAGAGAGGAAGGGAGAGGGATAGAGAGTTAGAAACATCGATGAGAGAGAAACATCGATCAGCTGCCTCCTGCATACCCCCGACTGGGGATGTGCCTGCAACCAAGGTACATGCCCTTGGCCGGAATCGAACCTGGGACCCTTCAGCCCGCAGGGCGACGCTCCATCCACTGAGCCAAAGCGGTCAGGACAGTATTTCTTAAAATCATTTCTTTACTCTCCTAATTTATAAATAGTAAAACAAAATATTTGATCTTTTATGAAGTAATATACATTGCTAATTCATTGAAAACATTTTAAATATTCACTTTCAATGGATAGAAGATACAGATAAGATAAAGCAGGCTTTTCATATTTAAAACATTTACATCAAATTATTTTTAATTCTCAATATTCAGAACACTTTTTTAAATTTTTTTAAAGATGCTTTTTAAAGGACTGATAATTTTATGATTATAAGCAGACATCTGAGAATTTTTGTGAGTGCTGGAAAATTTTATAGCAAATAACATTTTAAATTAGTTATGGTTATTATAAAAAGTGAAAAATTCTTGCCTTTTTCTTGGCCACATTTTTTTTTCCTGGCAGAGAGAAGATAACCAAAGCTTATCTTTTTATAGTTGATTCATTAACATCTTTTTATAGGGATATCCTATGTATTATGCTTTAGGATGTTGTACCAGAAGGCCACAAACTTTAAATCTCACACTCAGGGATAGAGGTATAGGAAAAAATTTTAAGTTAAAATCAAGAGAGAGCACAACCTGTTAGCCATATATGTAGCATCCCATAAGTCAATAGCCAAAGTAGATGATTGTTGGATAGAAAAGTTAAAAGATACAGAGATGTGAAAATTATTGTTGTTCGTTGCTCTATCCCTTTGGCACTAAATCGATATAATAATAAATCTTAAACATTAACATAATGTGTGCCCAATTGTTTTAATCTCTTAATTGAAATTCATCATTCAAATACTTATTTTATTACTTATAGTAAACTTTGTTTTTCAGCAAATTTGATAATTTCAAATTTAATAATATTTATTTCATCTTCCTACATATCCAGGCACTGAGCTAGGTGTTTTACCTCAGTTACTTCTGATTCTCACAATTCCATTTTACAGTTGAGGAAAACTAAGGCCTGAAAAGTGTTCAAGTTGCACAGCCAGTAAGTAGGAGAGCCAAGATTCCAATCTGCGTTTTTTGACTCCACTTTATCATTCTGCTCCATGTTTTATCATAACAGCATAAAAGCCCATAAAATGTGTGGGCAAGAGTTTTCTAACGTTCTTCATCTATTGTATTTTATTTTGTCTTTGCTATCAAGAGGATGAAACTACCCTTCATCTTAAGTTCTGTAAACAATGTTATCTTAACACTCAGTGAGATTAGTGACAGGCGTGTACATTTAAATCTTTTTTGTTGTTGTTAAACCTCTCTACTTTGTCTTGCTCTTATCTTAGTAGCTCCATTATGAGAACACAGAGGAAAAATTCTATCTTATTTGGGTTTATTAAAAAGTCTATCATTTGCCCTAGCTGGTTTGGCTCAGTGGGCAGAGCATTGGTTTGTGGACAGGAGGGTCCCAGGTTCGATTCCAGTTAAGGGCATATGCCCGGGTTATGGGCTCAATCGCCAGTAGGAGGCGGGCAGGAGGCAGCCAGTCATCATTGATGCTTCTCTCCTTTTCCCTCTCCTTTCCTCTCTGAAATCAATAAAAATATATATATTTTAAAAACCTAACATTTAAAAAGTTATAGTGATAATATTACCTGACATATGTCATCTTATAGTTTATTTAGTATCTGGAGATGTTAAGAAGTGATAAGATCTAATTTGGGTATTTTGAAGTATTGTTCATTATTGCTTATCATTATACCTCATACAGTTAGGAAGTGATATGCTCTAATTTGGGTATTTTGAAGTATTATTCATTATTGTTTTTTACTAGAGGCCCGGTGCATGAATTCGTGCACGGTTAGGGTCCAGCCAGCCGCCCCGATCAGGG